GAAGGAAGGAAGGAAGGAAGGAAGGAAGGAAGGAAGGAAGGAAGGAAGGAAGGAGTGCAAACAAAGCTCAGAAATGTAGGCTTGTAAGAAGCTGGAAATGGCGTTATTAAAAAAAAACAAAACTTGTCATGAATCCTCATGGTTATTAAAATAATTTGGTGTAAGTGATGCTGATGATACAATTTGCTATTGGCTAATTAAAGCTTTAGGCTGCATCTAGGCCATGGAGGAGGAGACCGCTGAGAGTATATAAGCCCATGGTTTGGACTGACTTCTCAACAGCTTCACCAGACAGCTCAGCTTCTTAGCTTCTCAGCCTCCAAAACAGGTAAGGTTGAGTTGGGGTGAGTCTGTTGGGAGAAGAGAAGCTTCTTCTCCCAATGTTCTGGGGCTTGCAAATCTCTCTTTCTCTCTCTCTCTCTCTCTCTCTCTGCTCTTCAGGTGGGTGATGGAGACAGACCTGGAAGCTGATTCAGGCCTGGTCCATGGAGAACATGACTAGGTTCCTTCCAAGTGGGCATTGCAATGTTACTCATGTATAATATAACCATAGTTCTCTTCTTGGGTTCTTTCAGCTCATCTCCACCACTCCACCACCATGGCTTTCTGTGGACCACCCTGCCCCCTCCCACCCTGCCCCATCCCATCCTGCGCCATCCCATCCTGTGCCTCCTGCCCATCGGTTGGATTTGGACCTGGTGGTTTGGGGGGACTGGCCTCCAGAAGCTTTGGTCTCCCCTCGGGTCAGCCTGCAAGCAGCCTGGGCACCCTGGAAGGCGTGACCCCTTCCTGCATCAACCAGATCCCAGCAGCTGAGGTGGTGATCCAGCCTCCTCCTGTCATCGTGACCCTCCCTGGTCCCATCCTCTCTGCCAGCTGTGACCCCGTCGCCGTCGGAGGCAACACGCCATGTGCCGCTGGAGGTTACGGCCAAGGGTTGCCCACCGGTCTTCTCGGAGGTGGATCTCGACAGGGGAGCCGTTACAGATTTGTCGGTAACAGGGGCAGCATTTGCTACATCCCCTGTTAAGCTCACTTGGACGGTCAAAACATGGGACAACAGAGGATCTGAAAGGAACAACGGCAGAACTTTGGGGGCTAGGGAGAAAATCACCGAGCAGGTTTGAAGTAAGAGCATCTCCTAGATGTTCCCTTCTGACAGCTCTCATATCCTTATGCCCCCACATCTCTTCTTAGCCTAAATGTATTCTTCTTTATCCCCTTTTTGAAACATTTCCTTTTCTGGCGATTATTTATCCACAGCTCTTTCATCTGTAGCTCAGCAAGGCCTTTGTTGTGCTCCTTGTGAATCATGCAGAATGAAAGGGCAGAAGGAGACATCTCTTGCCAAGAAACTCTGCTTTTGCTCCACCGCAAAGTCTCCAAGGGGAAATTGTTCAGCATGGTCTCTGTGCATGCTTGTCTCCTTTCTACACAGCTGCTTAAGAATGTGTTCATTCTGGTTTCCCCCCCCCCCCTTAATAAAACTTTGCATCTTAGTTTCAGTCTCCTGGATTGCTTTTCCTAACATTAAGATATTGGGGTGGTTAGCAACGGAAGAGTAACAGCTTTTATTGCAAAGAAACTAGAGGCGTTGTGTCTTTTTGAAGAAATATCACCCAAGAAAAAAGGAGGAATGGGTTTTTATAGGGTAGGGGGCTCTTAAAGTAGCAAGGTGTTTTGATGGCTCCCCCAATTGCCTCTGAAAACATTCCTGCTCCTTCGGGATGGGGTGACACCTCTTCGCTCCAATTTCACAACACAACTGTTTCTATGAGTGATATCGAAGGGCCCCACTTGCAGCCTGGGCCAAGAAACTGGATCAGTTCTTTCAGTGGGAACCTTGAACCAAAGAGGACGTCTGCAAAATAATAAGGTCACCCATCGGCTCTCCAGATAAGAGCGTTTAGAAGGTTGAAGTGGGTCCCCCAGCATCTCCGAGTTTAGAAGCTAAGTTTAGGAAATGCCCTTCCCACCTGAGATCAGGCTGAGCGGGGTAGATATCACTAGACTGATCATGCTGATATACACTGAACAGGCAACCTTAAATTTTAAAAAAATCCCCTCTCACCACTATGGGTGGTCTGTGTCTTCTTCCATCTTAGGTCCTCTACCAGAGGCCTGAGAGTTTGAGGGTTCTGTGAAGTATCTGAGCTGTTCCTAGCCCTGCACTCTTCTGGACAGAGAGCTCTGAGGTTGTTCCTGGGATCTGTTGGAGCCCCTCTCCCAGCTGAGGAGTCATAGCCCCAAGTGCTCCTACCACCACTGGGACCACTTTGGCCTTTACTTTCCACATTCTCTCTAGTTCCTCCTTCAGGCCCTGGCCTTTCTCCAGCTTCTCCTACTCCTTCTTTCTGATGTTGCTGTCACATGGCACTACTACATCTATCACCACCACTATCTTCTGGTCCTTGTCTACTACCACAATGTCTGGTTCATTGGCCAGTACTTGCCTGTCCGTCTGGATCTGGAAGTCCCACAGGATCTTAGCTCTGTTATTCTCCACATTATGTGGAATC